AGGTGGAGGGTTCTATGATTTCAGGAACTTCGAATGGACTATGTGCAGGCTTATTTAAGCCTTAGTTTGGTGTTGTTGTTGTTGTTGTTGGTGGTGGTGGTGGTGATGGTGGTGGTGGTGTTGGTGTTGGTGTTGGTGTTGGTGTTGGTGTTGGTGTTGGTGTTGGTGTTGTTGTCGTTGTCGTCGTCGTCGTCGTCGTCGTGGTTGTTGTTGTTGTTGTTGTTGTTGTTGTTGTTGTTGGTAATGGTGGTGGTGGAGGTGGTGGTGGTGGTGGTGTTGGTGTTGGTGTTGGTGTTGGTGTTGGTGTTGGTGTTGGTGTTGGTGTTGGTGTTGGTGTTGGTGTTGGTGTTGGTGTTGTTGTCGTTTTTGTTGCTGTTGCTGTTGCTGTTGCTGTTGCTGTTGCTGTTGCTGTTGTTGTTGCTGTTGTTGGTGGTGTTGGTGTTGGTGTTGGTGTTGGTGTTGGTGCTGGTGTTGTTGATGATGGTGGTGGCGGCGGCGGCGTCGGTGGTGTTGTTGTGGTTGTTGTTGTTGTTGTTGTTGTCATCAGTCTTCTTCTTCTTATGTTATGTTATTGTTGTTCTGGTGGCTGCGGCTGTTGCGCCTGCTGCTGCTGCCGGTGCTGGGGTTGGTGTTGGTGTTGGGGTTAATTGGTGTTGCAACTGCTGCTGCTGCTGCTGTTGCTGTTGATGGTGCGGATGGTGCTGCAGATCGAGGTGGAGAGATGGTGGCGTGCGTGACGAATTGGGGTGGATGTTGGTTCTAGGATTTGCGTGCTAGTAGTGGTAATGGTGATCACTGATCACGGTTCTCTGTATTTGTGGTCTGTATGTTTGATGCTGCTGCTTGTCGTGGCCGGGGGGGAGTGCCAAGAACTGTTGGGGCGGTAGAGGTTAGAATCTCAGAACACGGAAGCCCAGGTGACCGTGATTTCATCGACGGAGGGTGAAACCTGCACCGACTTTGGGCCTTCGAGGCCGTTTAAGTTTCTTGAGGTATGAGGATTTCGACTTGAGGGTCGGAGAATCGAGTACTTCTCACGTCTGCAGAAATGCGAGGTTTTGGGTTACCCGAAACCTTACCCAACCCATCTTTCTTCGACGATTCCAGAGCTCTGTGAACCCTGACCCCCACGGAGAAACCGTAAACCCCTTAAGTTCCAGAGACCTCTGAGATGTGTTTGCAACGCACAGCTCTCCCTGCTAGACTATCCCCACGAAGCTTCTCAGACCTGAGCTGGTTTGGGGTTTAGGGTCTTCGATAGCTCATTTGTGATGCACTGTCCTTCCAGTTTCTTTACGTTTGCGGCAGTCTATTGTGTGTGAGAGTTGGTAAGGGTTATCCTTCTGACCCATGCCACCTCTTGTCACTTACTGTCCCTCTTATGGCTCCTGCCTGCAATGAACTACGTAATTGCCGAAATTAGTTACTATTAGAAGCTTAGGGGCTTTTTGACCAGGTAGCTGACGAGGGAACTGACTGAAGTATCCCACGAATGTAACCAACTAAAAACCTAACTACCAGGTGACACGGCTAAGTCATCGCTTGGCTGTCTGCTCTAACTGGATTACTGGCCAGCTTGCCAGCCCGTTGGCCAATTGACTGCTTCAAGCAAGTGACTGAGCTATCCCATGCTTTCTGGTCATGGTCATCAAAGCTCAAACCATTAGAGCTTGTGGCCGTGGTGATGGTGGTCGTTGCCGTGATTTCAATTAGTGGTGGTCACTCGTGGACATTATTGTGACTCCCACACACACACACACCAAAGTCTGCAACTCGTGATGTCTAACGTTTTAAACCCGAAACTCATGAAGCTCAAGGCGGCTCAGTCAGCAGCTGTCGTACACCTACGCCAGGGGCCCACGGTATGGTTTACGGCTTGAAGTTCAGTCCGTCTCAGTCCTAGACGCCAAACCCGAGACATACATGATCCAAAGCATGTTCGGAGTCATGGCTTCGGCTTTAGGGTGATGAGTCATGAGGGTTGGGGATTTCCTGTTCAGGTAGATCTGGGTCCTGTGCTGTTACATGCAGGGATGCGCTGATGCTTGCCTTCTGGTTTAGGGATTCGGACAACTGCAGGGTTCGGAAATGTAGGCTTTGGGGCACCCAACCAAAGACTGAATAGTGTTGCCCTCCACGAGTTCACTGAGACGAACGGTTCGATCCCCAAAATGGGCACCATGCGCTGGAAGCATTAGTTGGAATGTGACCGACACCCTGAACTGTTGTATAGCATTGGCACACTGCTTGTACACCCTTGCTGAAGTTGAGAATCCGGGGTTTGTGAGTTGTGACCCGTTGTGACAGGGAATCCCTCTATCTGAGATGACAGCGAAATCAGCCTTATATGTTCCAAATCACCAGCTGGGCCTTGGTTTAACAATTCGGATGTGTCATAGAATTTGGTCCTGTACTTGAGACAGGATGAGAATCCTCCTTATTGTGACAGCCTTCCCTCTTTCTGCTGTTGTTCTACCCGCAACAATCCTCCACTGCCATCCTACCAGGCCTGAAACTCTCAATCCTTGAACCACCGAGCCACCAGAGGGCGCTAAACCCTCCAACTCTCACACCCTGAAATCGTGGACATCCCTCTCTATCTGCCTGTCAGACCGTCACCACGTTCCTCTCCGGGCCAGTGCCGGAGCTGCCGGGGGCCAAGCAGCGTCTTGATGCTGCACTGCTGGCTGCTAGTTACTAGTAACTTACTAGTACGTACTACTAGACGAATATGGTAGTACTACTACTGCTAGCATTATTAGTACTACTACACTACTACTACCATCACCAAAACCACCATTCCCAAAACCGCTTCTGCTGTTGCCAACCACCACCTCGTCGATGGGTTCACTGAGAGGTTTGGCTTTGTCGTTTCACGCTGTGTGGCTATGTCGTTGCTGCCTGTCCACGGGTATGGTGTTTTCGTGCAACAGCTATGGTGCAGATCCATTGCTATGGTCGCAGGCTGTATCTCAGGTCCTCATCTTCGTCGATGCCAATCGGCAAAGTTAGCATCAGCTCGAGTTTGCGCCATAAGGTTTCTTGATTTAAGGAGTTGGCCTGCAGCGACATTCAATCTTAGGTTGTCATGTCCGGGTTCTGAAGGTATGCAATGAAGCACAAGCAACCGAACCGGAGATTTGTTGCTCAGGATTTGTTATGTTACGGTCGCTGATTCTGGAAGCTCGGCCGGGCGAACCAAGGCCAGCACAGGAAAACATTACGACTATCATGAACCAGCTCATGCAGCAGCACACCGTCCTTGCAGGGGCCTCCAGAACGACAGGATACCTTGAAGCTTTGGCTTTTGTGATCTGTTCGCGGCAAGGGCCGGAAGGGACGAGCGATTAGTTCAATCGGGGTAGCCGAAACACCTTAAACCTCTCAACCCCAAGACCTTACACACGGACACACGCACACGCGCACACACACACACACAGAGAGACACAGACACAAACACACGCACCGACTAGAATCTTGAAGCCTGAAGCGCTACAAACCCGAACCAAAACCTTAAATCCTAAAGTTGAAACCCGGCACTCTGCGCCCTGAAACTTAAACGCCTCAAGCCCTAAACCACAATCCGCGCACTGCCAATCCTGAACGAGTGGGGAGGTCGGATCTGAGAGGGAGTCATACGACATTCGGGGCTAACGTTCCAGCACCCTAGACCCCATGAACCTGCTCGGATGGACAAAATCTGTTTGACAACTACAGGTCATTCATCATACGCAGACTATAAGTAAGGGTCTTACTACGAGTCATAAGAACGAAGTCTGACGGCATGCATGTACTTGTCATGTCTATCATGCATCTTTGTCTGACCCAGATTTGGTGGAAATGGTAATGGTGCAGCCTTTGGGGTGGAATTGGCCTCCATCCAGAATCGTTCAACCACACGTGTTACTCTGTACGAATGCTTGGAAGCATTAAGCCTTATGTCGGGTCGCAGGTAGATACGAAACCCCAAAGCTACCAAAATTTGAACTCCATCAAACGGACTGTGCCTTACAGTAGCCTCTACTCCCCATCCCTACACAATCCTAAGCCTTGAATGCAAACCCGTCGCAACATTCGTGCTTTAGCAACTTTGGCCGAGGCCAGTACGACCGTGACTGTGGAGGCGGTAACGGTTGTCCAGGTCACGTCCACGACCCTTGGCACACGTCTATGTTTGGGACCTTTGGCCCTGCTCCTGATCCTACTTCAGGCAGTAGTGGTGGTGGTAGCATAGTAGTAGTAGTAGTAGTAGTAGTAGTAGTAGAAGTTGTTGTTGTTGTTGTAGTTGTGGTTGTAGTTGTAGTAGTAGT